CTTGGAACTTTATTCAGACATATTTATTATAAACTAATTATAACTCTAATAAAATTTTCTAACATCTGAAGTCATTAGAATGCAGACAATAAAAGAAAAATAATTAGAAAATTACTACTAAGCTGATAAGTTACTCTATTAAATAATGATTTTTAATAATACTAACTTTCTAATTTGAAGAAAATTATATAAAAATATTTATGTATTAGTACTCTGATTTCACAACTCTTATCTGATAACTTTTATAAATAATTATCTTATATATATATATCTCTGAATCTTTCTCTTCAATTAATTGAAAACTCTGAATTCTGAATACTTCTTTAAATGCTTAATTCAAATCTTCATATTTTACATCAATCATATCTTCAGTTCAATCTTGAGATACACTATAAAGTTAATATATAATATCTAGAATCAGAGTTGAAGAATCATTGAAGAGTATCTCTCACAGTGAATGTATAAACTAGTATAAACAATCTTACATTTATAAGAGTTATATGTTATTATATTAATGAGAACTGAACTTATTAAGAGATATTAATTGAATTTAAATCATTGATCAGTAGTCATACTGAGAATTATATAGCAGAGATATTAATAACAGTGATTAAAAATAACTATTAAGATATTAGTCTCAGTCTTCTTACAATTATAACTGATAATACTGTAAATAACTACACTATAATGAAGAGATTGAAATAAAAATTGACTTTGTATTTCTGAAATAATAAACAAGATTATATTCTCTATATTACTCATATGATTTAACTTATAATATAAACACTGATAAAGAATCTTAATATTGAGATAATAAATAATGAGATGACTGATTCTTGAAATGAGAATGAGATGAAGATAATTACTTAAGTAACTTTTATATTCACTTTATAAAAGATAATATTTTTTAATAATACTTTTTAATATTACTTTTTAATAATACTTTCTAATAACACTACTGTTAATTTTGAATAGATTGATTAATAATTTAAATATCACAGATTTGAAACATTGTTAATATAATTTATATCTTCTCTAAATAATAATAACAATTTCATAATATTCAATAAATAACAAATTAGTCACATTACAGAATATGATATAGAATATTAAAACACAGTAAAGTTCAATATATAAAATAGCTGTTCAGACTCTTTGATTACATCAGATAATTAATCATTAAGTGTAATACTCTGATTGAGAAAAGATTCAGATATTAAAACTTTCTGATATAAAGTGAACTCAGTTGAAATATGTAATTAGTTTACTGTTTCAGTTTTATAAGATAATAAAGACAGTCTTAATCACTTATACATCAATGCTGCAGTCAGTCTGATAAGTGTATAACAGTTTATTTACTGATCTTAAGAAGCAGTTAAATTACTTAAAAAGAAATTCAGTCTGAGATAATACTATAGCACAGACTATTATTACTGTAGGAAATAAACTAGTACATTATTACAGTAAAACTGAACAATCTTTTATAGAGTACTATACTGTAGCAGCTCTACTAGATCTCTTCTGTTAAGTTAATATCTACACTTCTCAAGATTGAATAGAGAAGAAATAAGACTTATATATTAAATTAGTTCAAGACTACTATAATATCAACTATCAGAGATTTGAATAAGCAGATATTAGTAATATAAAGACAGTGAAATATAATTCTCTAGTAAGTAATAATCTTTGATAATACTTTATATTATATAGAACTATAATACTAACTTTGAAACAGAACTTGTATACATTAATTACAACTGAAAATCAGACAAAACTACATGCTTATAAAACTGAATTTAACTGCTATCTTTAAGATAATCTGATAAATTTATATACTAAATCAATTTTAGAGTATGAAGAATTATTAAGAGTATATATTCCACTGTTGCACTGATGATACTGAAATTCTGACAATTTCATTACAGAGATAAGAATGAAGTGAAGGTCAACTGGAG